TCCTGCTCCACCCAAACTTCAAAACTAACTGCCTGGCAGTGGCAGTAGCATTTCTGTTCAGACAACAAGGAGGGACTCACTTATAGCCACTTACACCTTATGCTGTGAGCTGCACAAATGTTGATGGGTGTTATTGCTAGGAGTTTGAAGCAGTCACACCCTTAGTCTAGAAACCTTCTCTGACTGTCCTCTATCTGCACAGCTCTGACTTGCCACTAGAGACCTGGTGAGCAAGAGCAGGGCTAGGAGCTGTGGCTGTGGGTTGCCACTAGAGGGCTGGAGAGCCAGGACAGGCTTCTATTCCTGCTTTACTGTCTGCGTGAGAGAGATCCTGGGATACTGGAGGACTTCATTTTGGGCAGCACATTTGTGAGGAGTGGACAGGACACCTTAACGGAACAGAAGCTGGGTAGTGCAGATCAGAGAGAATCCTGCCCCAGAGTGGCATCACTTTGAGCCACATATACAGTGCTTAAAACCACTCTAAGATGTTAATGTGCAGACAGTCCAGGGGTTAAGACAGGGGTGGGCCAGATGTGGCCTGCCAGGCCATCCTATCCAGCCTGCAGGGCCACTAAAAAATATAGAATATTAATATCTGCCCTGGCTGCCTGTCACGCGGCCCTCGATGGCTTGCCAAAATTCATTAAGCCACCCTCCGCCCAAAATACTTGCCCGTCCCTGATCTAAACTTAGTATCTCCTTTGAATTGACTTGAATCCTTTTAAACTCTTTACCCCATAGGTGTTAAGCTCCCTTTTTTGATGGTCACAAAGTCCCACCGATGAAGCTGCACACTGCGTGGCTGGTACCTGCTCCTGTGTCCCAGCCCTGCAGACTGTTTTTAAATCCAACTAAAAGCTTTACCTTGAGCACTGACGCACTGCCTCAGGCAAACGGTCACACCCTTGGTGGCAATAACTTTCGGGGAAGCACAGCCAGATAAGGCAGCTCGACTTGGGTGGGTATATAACCCTGAGAAAGGAGACCTGCCCTTCGTCCCAAGGAGGGCAGGGCTAACGAAACAAGTTATTTTGAGGACATGGGGGGGGTGCCTATTCCTTGTGCTTGTTTTCTACCTCCTACAGAGCAAATGAGGGAAGTTAGGGTGGGTTTTACCTCACTCTTTCACGGAGCAAGGCAGCCCCGGAACCCTCATTTTCTAACAAAACTTCTCGTCCCGTGGCCAGCGGGCTGGGCCAGCTCCGTGCTATCTGCACCCGCTGCATCCCCCTCCCCAATTGCTCGGCCACGCGCTGCGGCGCGGCTGCCGAGTCTCTGCGAGTGCAGGAGCCCCGCCCCCTTCTTTCGGTGGGCGTGCACACGTGGTACACTCCTCACAGCCCAGCCTATCAGCGTGCCTCTCCCCCCTCATGCGTGCGAGTGGTACAGTCCCGGGGCCAGTGACGTCTGGCGTTCTCGCGGCCCGGGCTGCAGCGCGTGGAGTAGGACCATGGGTGCGCAACGTCTCCCGCTGCTGCCCGCCGCCTGCGCGCTGCTGGCCCTGGCGCTGGCCGGCGACCCGGTGAGCGGGGGGGACTGGGCCGGACCGGGCAGCGCCGCCTCGATGGGGGGAGTCGCGGCTCTTCCCACCGGGTTTCACTTCCTCGTCCCCACGCCGCGCCGCTGGGAGGGGCCCCGTGCAGGCGGCAACCCCCGGCTTTCCCTGGCCGCCCTCCCTGAAGCCTCTCCGAGAGAGGGCCTTGAGGGGCCCGATCCTGTGCGAGCGTCGGGAGGACCGGTCTGGACGGGGGTGGAGAGCAGGGGCTGGCTGTCAAGCAGGCACGCGGCCGCCTCAGGAGCTGCAAGATCCCTGACAGCTTGTGTCAAACCTGCGTTGTGGGGTGACCAGGGCCACGGATGTCTGTTTGCTTGGCCTTCGTGCTGCCCTCGTGATTTCTTTGGTGACACAAAGGCACTGTCTGTTTCTATCCTGTAAGAAAGGCGGGGGGAGACTGCAGAAGGGGAAGGGTGGTGGCCAGCAGCAGATCAGATTTAAAATTATTCACCAGTATTAAAAGCATTGGTTATTTTACATGGCCTTGTAGAGTTGGAAGCAGATAGGTGACCCCCTTGCGTGATGGTGTGGGTTAATGCAAACTGCAGCCTACATTAGCCGCCAGGGTAGAGGGGTGAAGCAGTTGCAGGGCAGTGCTATGGGGAGAAGAGAAGTAGGATCTAGCAGAGATGTGGGTTTTCCAGAAAATTTTCCGATGCCCTAGATAGAGCGTGATCTGATTTAGCATGTTTAAACAAGTACCCCCCATGTTAATTTTATGTCCCAGTAACCACAGGTATTTAAACTGAAATACTTGATTAGGAAAAAATTAAATACAGCACATTTAATGTGGTTTAAATGTTATGTTCAAGTTCAAAGCTTTATGTGGAAAGCAGTTATTTTTATTGGAATACTTGTAAAAATGTAAAGACGATACACAATAGCATGTACTTCCCGTACACTGTTTAATTACATTTTAAGAAAAAAATGAAGGCACTGAATACTGTTGACACACTAACTTTAGCACACTTGAAGAACTGTGTATGATTTGCCGTGCTTTGGTTTTGATTTGACCTGCACAGCCAATTAGGTGAATTCATACCTTGAGTTTCAGTATGGTTTATTATGTGAGTGTAGTTACCCTCCTGTTAACTAATCAATAAAACATATATGTACTCTCACACATTTCCTAGAGATGATCACCTGAAAAACATTAATTACAACTTTGAAACTGCCAAACTTGCCTAATATTGTACTGGCATCCATTCGTTGTTACTAATGAATTTTATGAAACAATTTTTAGAAATGGAAAATTTCCCACATAAAAATAAAGCACTGGAAAATTTTTTGCCCCACATCTCTGGGACCCGACACGCCGTAACTGCGTTGGTTGGAGCCAGGCTATTCTCAGTGGTGACAGGTGACAGAACAAGGAGCAATGGTCTCAAGTTGCAGCAAGGGAAGCTTAGGTTAGATATTAGGAAAAACACTGGAACAGGTTACCTACCAAGGGGATGGAAGCTCCATCCTTGGACGTTTTTAAGACCCGGCTCCACAAAGCCCTGGCTGAATGGTCTAGTTGGTGATGGTCCTGCTTTGAGCAGGGGGTTGGACTAGATGACCTCCTGAAGTCCCTTCCAACCCTAATTGTCTACAATTCAGAGTTGTCAGGTTATAGGGCATTCTCTTACAGTGGCTCTAGCATGTGTCCTGCAATTAGTTGGTTGGGGATATTCAAAAGCATTAACAGTCTGTGAATCTATGTTGTAGTGAGGGAGGTGGGAGGACTTGCAGTCCATCCCCCCAGTCATGGTTCTGTTTGTGGTCTCAGGCGCGCTGTCCTCATGTCAGTGATGGCCCATGGCGTGCTTGACATAAATGTTTTTTGACCAACAGGTAGTGTTGGATACTATACGGCACCTCATCAGTTTTGCATAGTGGCAAGGTACTCTGCAGGCTCACAGGATGCTCAAGCCTGGTCTCTTGGTTCTCCACTGAGTGCAGTGACTTGTGGAGTTCTTCTGTCTTGACACTTGGATTTTCTCGGTAGGGAAACAAAGCAATTAAGCAATAAGCAACAGAGCAGAAATCTGTCTAATCTTAATAAGCTCCTAGGTAATGAAAAGCACTGACTAAAGCCATGATAATATATTTACAGTGCAGATGTATCATTATAATCCCCCCACACCTTAGCATTAATCCTGTCAGTGCCTTTAACCATGTTTCAACAGTGGATGAGAGGAGCTATGCAGGTAGTTTTATTGTGAAGCATGTTGAGATCCTGTAGGAACCAATGTTTTGGATTGTGTTTTATTTCTATTTAATGTAAAGTGTCTAGTTTCTGCACTGTGCTACAGATTGTACAATTGTAGAGGGAAAAAGTTCCCTATTAGGGATCTGAAAAGTTAAGCAGTTAAAAGATCATTATATTTATACTGTTAATGCATTACTGTTAACGTTTAAAACAGATTGGTAAAATTATTTATATTGCCTGGCACTGTTAAGTCTTTCTGTGTTTGTGCTCATTGTTGTTTTCCTGCCTGTGTGGTTTTTTTTTTTTAAGCATGGCTTGTATTTGCTAGGGTGGAGTTAATTGTATCAGTTTTTCAAACTATGTTGTGTGAATTATCACGTGGTTTATTGGTACTACTTTTTCTTCTGGGTCTCTTGCTTGAGTCCCTCCTGTTTCCCTTCTCCATGTTTGTCACCTCTGACCATGCTATGCAGGATGCAGTTAAATAAATGAGGACTTAACCGCCCCCCCCCCCCCACCACCACCACCAAATAACGTCTCTCCCCCAGTCAGGCCATTTTTTTTTTCTGGAGCTCCCCTGCTCTTGGGCTTGTCCACACCACTTCTTTCTGCCCTTTATGCACCTCATATATCTATATCTTCAGTGTTACCATGCTATTTTAAATCTCCTTCATCCCCACTTCCCCACCCAGCCCTGGTTCCTTTTCTGGTGTCCCCACTCTCTACCTCCAGTTGTGCACAATGCCAGGGCTTGGGAGTTGTTCTGGTTTTACCTGCGTTTCTGTAGTGTTCCCCCCCTCCACGAGGCACTGCAGGGCAGGGCTTGTCCTCCCCCTGCAGAGCCACCCCCGGCATGGCAGCCAGTGGGGAGTCTGCCCCAAGCCTGTGTGTACTATAATGGTAGGTGAAGTCACTGCCACTGCCACCTGCAACTTGCCCTTGTGCATGTGTGACTCGCAGGCAGCACGCGCACACAGGCTCATGCGCCCTCGCCCTTTCTGACTCACACATGCTAGGTATGTATTATTGGTTAATTGGTTAACCAATATCATTAGAAGAGTCTAAAAGGCTAATTTTTTTAACAATATTTACAGCCCTGTAACAAGTCTGAGGTTCCAAGGGTGGCCATGAGCGAAGTAGTGACCAGGAGGCATCCTTTCCTGCTCTGGCTGTAGGGCAGTGGTTCTTAATGGGTTTTTTTGTACCAGGACCCATTTGTAAACATTGATGGGCAGTCCTGCCCCAGCCCTCCCAGTGTGTGTGGCATGGGGGGCCCCAAGCAGCCCCTTACAGGCTGCAACTCTGCCAGCCTGCAAAGGAGGAACCACGGTTTCCCACGTTTTTCTCCTTTGAAGAAGAATCCATTTTTAAACTTTGTTGATCCATTTTTAAACTTTGTTCATGACCCTTTAATATATTCTTGCAACCTGCTTTTGGGTCACGACCCACAGGGTGAGAAATGCTGCTCTAGGGTCCCTTCACTTAATTCTTGTCTGCCATGCCTTAGTCCATTTTGGAAAGGGTGGCTACCCAAGGTCCCTAGAGTGAACCTTACTCTGACCACCTGCCTGTGGATCCCCCTTGGATCCAGCTGGGCACAAAACAGCCCTCACACTCTGTTGGCATTCCTGGCCTGTACATGCCCCCTGGGCACCTGTTGCCTTATGGACTATTCACAGCCTCTGACCTCCTCTACAGCCATGCCCATGTCTGGCAGGTGTTAACAATCAGTGACTCCTGGGCCCCAATTCAAAGCAGGCCACCTCAGGCCTCAACAACCTTGCTGGGGCCTGAGCCTTTTCAGCATTGTCCCATTTCCTCTCTGGTTCTCTTTAGCCTAGGCCCATTGTGCCTCACCTGGCTTCTGGGTTCCAGCCAAAGTCTCACCCTCTCAGGCCCTGACTCCACCCCTCTTGGGCTTTTGGCCCCCAGCCCTTGTTCCTTCCCTTCTCAGGCTACAGTGCCTTGCATCCTGCCCCTGGCATGCTTAAGCCATGTGCCTTCCTGCCACCCTGAGACCTCCCCTGTCTCCATCCCTCTCAGATGCTAGGTCTCTGACCTTGTCTCCATCCCTCTCAGATGTTGGGTCCCTCTCAGACGCTGGGTCCCTCACATTGTCTCTGTCCCTCCTTGAGTGTTGTGCCCCTGGCAGTTGGGACCTTCACTTCCCCTTATTATTCCCAAACACCATTCACTAATTAAAACTCAAACCAAAACCATGAGCCCATGGCCATAACTGAACTCTTAGCCCAGGGGTTTTCAGCCTTTTTTGATTAGTGTACCTCCGTCAGCCAGACACAGAGCAGTGTACCCCCCAGTGGTCAAGCAGGGAGTAGGGAGGGTGGCGCGCAGCTGCATGTGAGCTTCCCCTGTATCCGGCCACGTGGGCAGCGCCTGCGTGGCAGCATGGGCTGGTGCGT